GAAATGGCACGATGACACAGCAATGCCATTTATTGGAGGAGGTCCTTTGATGGCAAAATGCTGCTTTTCTTTTCTTGATTGTTCCTGGGTATAACATGGACTGACATTAGGCAACAGTTACTAACATGAGCAATCATTTAGGCAATGTTATCCAGTGTGAGTCAACATGAAGCAGTGCTTTCAGTGTCCATGTGAATATATTACAAGTTGAACCAGTTGAAGAAGTGAACTTACCCATTTACAAAATGTTGATGAAAGACATCCAGAAAAGCATTGTTGTGGTATCGCGAAGCGCTGAATGATAAGACAAGACGATAAATCCACTGTCGTTTATATTCATGGCAATCTTTTATATACCGATGATGTCATTGACAGCGCCCCCTATACACAACACATTCCCCCCTCTTAATTAAAAAAAAGGTCGGTCTACTTTTGGCGCACTCGCTCCACCGCACATGACACAAATGACGTTCTTGAAGTCAGGCAAGCTCTTAGTCTTGATATCACATTGGCATTCTTCGTGTTCGTTCCGGCCTGGTACGTGATGATGCTGTGGTTGTGGCCAACTGCATTCGAGAGATGTCCTGCTGATCAGGAACCTCTATCATAGACTTCACTACTGAGGCCTGTGCATTGTCAGAAAGGATAGCACTTTCCTGGGTGTCTTCTGATGGCCCCACTATGACAATTGTGTTTTCCCGCTCAGCCAACTTTTCTATGTGAAGATCGAGGTCACAGGAAAACCTCGAGGCTGCACTGCGTCGCGCTGTAACTGCATCGGCTGGTGCTTGTGCCTGTCCTGTCTCTACTTTACCAATTACTGTTAACTTGATGCATTGCATATCGTCCTGTTTGCCATCGAAAACGAATTTGTGCCCACTCGTCTCTCCACCTGGATTGGCAAACAAAACTTGTGTTTCGTCTTTGGTCTGCCTTGTCTTATTTTGACTCGATCTCCTGACTCAATGGTAGACGCTCTTGCACCTCGTTTTTCATCGACGTGCTTCTTTGTTCGTTCTTGCTTCCTTAATCGGCTGTTTCAACCTTTCAATGTCGAAACGCGGCTCTTCAAAAAATTCCTTCTCTCGGAGGCCAACAACATCCAGTCTTGTTATGGGTTTTCTTCCATGCAGCAGGTAAGCTGGTGACACTCCTGTGTGGGGTGGCCCTATACACACCGAGGTAGTCATAGATTGCCTCTTTCAGTGGCCTTCGCTCCAATGCTGCAACCTGAATATACTCCTTGAAAATGCAGTTGAAAGACTCAATCTGCCCATTGCATTGTGGGTAGTACAATGTTGTAAAACGGTGCTGAATTCCCCGATTTCCTGAATTCGCCAAAACTGCTCCAAACATGTCGACATGAATTGAAGCTCATGGTCAGTCAAAATGCTTTTCGGATACCCTTCTCTCGAAAAAATTTTCAAGAGTACTTTCACTTTTTCCAAAAGCCTGTGCACTTATTGTGGACACAAATGCCACCTCGGCCCACTTGCTTAGGTGATCAGTTATAGTGATTGCAAGCCTGCACTCTGGAGGGGCTCGCTCCATCGGGCCACTTTACAGGTTCCAATGGGGCCTTTATAGTTTTTGCAGATTTATCTGATGCCTTGCAGATGGCACAATTTCTAACCGGAGATTCAACATCACTGTCTATTCACGACCACTAGTACAGTTCTCTTAGCCATTGTTTAGTCCTTACAATGCCTGGATGCGATTCATGTGCCATCATAACCAGCCTGGAAGTGAGTGCTGCGGGGGAACAACCCGTTCAGAGGGAAACAGCAGTCCGTTTATAACTGACATTTCTTCTTGTAGAGGAAAAACTACCTACCTAAGCTTTGCAGTGGAACAGCCGTTTTCCAGCCATCTGAACATAACATACTGCGCCACCTCACTTACATCTTAATCCACAGCTGTTGCTGCTTGCTGCTAACCCTTTGTGATCAGGCTGGAAACCACAGCCACCACTTCTTCCACTGGGTTGTCCTCCACAGGGGTCGAGGTAACATGGAAATCGCATCTGCAACGACATTGGTATTCCTATTTGAGTACTGCACGGTGAAGTTGTATCTCAAAAGTCTAGCACACTAGCCTTCAATGCGAAGTGGGCATCTTCCAACCTCATTTGTGGACAGTAGTGTCATCAAAGCCTAATGGTCAGTTCGTAAGACAAACTCGTAACTTCAGATAAACATGCCAATGTTCACTGGCCCATAAACATGCCAGCACCTCCCATTCGACGTTAGAGTACTTGCGTTCTGGTGGCGTTAGTGTCTTCGAAGCGAATGCCACTGTACGTACTTCTCAATTGAACACCTGCTGTACAACACTCCCAGTCCATATGCCGAGGCATTAGTGGTCACTTGTACAGGCAAAGACTCGTTGAATATGGCCACCACTCCACATGACGACAGCATCTTCTTGATCTTGCAAAATGTCTCCTGGTGCTCTGGTCCCACGCGAACTTCTGTCCTTTTCGAAGAAGCCGTCACAGCAGCTCCACCAGTTCTGCATAATTGGGAAGAAAATGAGAGTAATAGCATGCGAGCCCAAGAAAAGACAGCAGCGAGACTACATCGCCAGGCATTTGTGCTTTCATCACCATATTCATCTTTGACCTAATTGGAGCAAGGCTACTTCCACTCACATGATGACCCAAAATAAAGAGTTCTTTTACAGTGATTACGCATTTATGATTTAGCTGCAGCCCTGCATCAGCAATCCGACGCAATACCTCTCAAAGGTTGTGCTTGTTCTTAGTCTTTCCAAAAACTATGATACAGTCGATGTAAAACAACACGCCCTTGCAGCCCTTCTAGTTTTCTTGCATCATTTGCTAAAACATAGCTGGTGCCTGTGTAAGGTCAAAACACACTCGCCAAAACACCTAAATAACTTAGGCGTGATAAACATCGTTATTTCTCTTCAGCTAATTTCACTTGATGGTAGGCTGCAGCAAGATCTTGTTTCGAGAACGACGCTGTTCCACTCGGCACATGCATCAGTTCCTCAACGTGCAGAAAAAGGAATTCATCAATGACTACTGTTTTATTTGGCTCATGCAAATCGATGAATAGGCGAATAGTTCCATTCTTCTTCTGCACAACCACTATAGGAGACACCCATTCCGTAGCACCAACTCTTCTATGTGCCTGCATCCAATAACCTTGTCACCTCAGCTGCTACTTTACCTCGCAGCGTCAAGAGCAAGCGTCGAACCTTCGCTGCTACTTGTTTTCCATCTGCGCCCAGCTTCACAGAATGTACAAAGTTTTTCATTAGTCCCAACTTATCAAGGAAAAGAAAGAAAAACTCGCACAATTCAAGAGCAAGCGACTGGGGGCCGGCCGTGACTTGTCGGCATTACAGTGTAGAGCCAACAATGTGCAGCTGTACCTGGTGCACCGCACGTAGTACCAATAATGCCATGCCTTGGGGAACGACATAAAAGCAGAGGCAGCCAGAGTTGTTCCCGCATACAACTCTGGCTGTGAAACATCCCCATACTGGAATTTTCTTCTGTGAAAAATCCGCAGCGTCGCTGTAGCCGCAGTCAACGGAAACCTGTTGGCTAACTTGGCTCGATAAACATTGTCTGGCAAAATAGACACTGGCGACCCAGTATCCACCAGCAACTGAAGTGGGTCTTTCTCAATTACGACATCAACTGCCAATGTTCTTTGTTCCACTTCTGTGACTCCCAGCACAGTGAGCACACCTTCTTCGATAGCGCCGTCGTTCCCAACCGTCCTTACGTCCCGCTCCGCCCACCTGCCACAAACCGCTTGAAAATGTCCCATGTTGTAAGATTAGGAGCAACGTTTCCCCGTACCTTACATTCTGGTGATTTTGCTAGGTGTCTCGTAGAGCCGGACCATTAACACCTGAGCATCGACGCCATTTTCGAGTCGCCGCCTGGGCCTCTGCTTTGGTATACATGCTGTACTATGTCCATTTGTGATGATCCTTGGTTATAGACGGCGACCCCCTTTACTGCCTGCTCGTTCGTCTGCAGCATTTCTACAGCCTGTGAAAGCGTAAGCTGTGACCCTTCACGAGCGATTTATGTCACAACTCAGTGCTGCCTATTCTGTCAACAACCCTGTCTTGCAGAGCTGCCTTCGAAAAATCTCCGAATTCACACGTCTTCGCCAACTGTCGGTGGGCACTGATGTACTCTCGTATTGACTCATGCGGCAATTACCGACGTAACGTGAATCGATGTTGCTCGACCAGTGCGTTGTTAGTGCTTGAGAACTGCCGCTCCTATAGGCCTAATGCCTTGGTTTCCACTTGCCTCTCTCTTGTCTTCTCCTGCTGGCTTGCTTGCCTCCAGCCCGGCTTTTGTCGTGTCCGGCATCTGTGCCGGCTCTGGGCCCGGTGTGCAAAAAACACGGCGTCCTTCGACCCCAAGACATTGTAACAGAATGGCCTTCTTTCTTTGGGCCGGTTGTACGTCCATCCCCATCGCTTCAAGGAAATTTGTGAAATCATCGTGCCACTACTGTAATGAAATTGTTGCATCTCCGGGAGTCTCCAGGATAGACGGTAGTTCGTACGATGTCATCTCGTAGGTGACGTTCCTTGAAATGGTCGGAAGCTAGATAAGGGAAACTGTTCGTGCTAGCTCGCTAGCTTCGCCGACTGCCCAGGTTGGTATCCCGTAGCGCTGAATGATAAGGCAAGAGGATGCATTATCACAGTCATTGATTTTCATGGCAATCTCTTATAAACTGATGATGTCATTGACAGTGCCTTCTATACACAATTGTTTTCAAATTCTCCATATTATAAGAAGATCAACTTTTTTGGGGGTAGTGACAAACATACTTTTTTCTTTAAAATAAAAATTAATCAGTTATCTTTTTAATCAGCTTATAATCGTGTCATTGAGTGACTATTGAATAACCCCTTTTTAGTTGGGCAACCAGTTGACCATGATAAAGTTTTTTTGATTGTCTGAGTGCAGCTGCTGATTTTCTGTAATTGCCATGCAGGGGTAGCACGTGGAGTCCATGCGAGGCCATCGAACTCCAGCTGGACTATTGGACTCTGCAGCGAAAAGGGGGCGCTGAACCCTGCCGTTTCTCCCTCAAGGGGGCCTTCAGATCCCTGCAGGTCAGAAGCGCATCACCTATGCCTCGTGAAAATAACGTGTCTGATGCCCCTGTAACATGAGGGAGTGCAAATCACCGCCAGTGTCATTTGCATGCCATCCATCACTCCCGAACACTTAGTGGTGCCAATGTCACACAAGCCCTTTTGAAAGGTCATTCACTCAATACAGTCGAGCCCACATATAACGGCCCCACTTAAGACGAACTTTCGCTTAAAACGAACAATATCCGCATGACCATGAAAATATACATTGTTTCAATGACACAAAATGGTACTTACAACGAACGTCTCCGAGCGCCGCTGATCGGTTACAGCGAATGTAGTTGGCGCTCGTCCGACTTCTTGGGAAAACACTTTTGACTACCGATCAGGCATCGGCGAGGTGCCCATAGATTCTTATTGTTAAACGCTGACCCTGCTTCCCCGCTCCTCTAGTTTCCGCTCTTCTTGACCGCTTTTTATTATGCACCCCTCCATTCTTTGTCCTCCTCCGCTACTCTGAGCACCGCGCATCGCCAGACGCGACCTGTGTTTTGACACTGCCACCGACGATCTTTCGAAGACCGGTTGGCCATCTTCCCGGTTTTTAATCGCCGGTACTGTCGTCTGCATCGCCGGCCTGAAGTGACCTGACCATTTGCCAACATCAACTGTATTCAATCATCTGCATCTTGTCTTGTCCTATCGTTCTAGTGCACGCGTGTACGCTACGCCACCCACTCTGATAATTCGCGATTCGTTTCGTGTTTAGGACCTGTTCTCGCTCACTTTGCACTCGGCTCAGCATGCCCTCTGCACGTGTGCGGAAGCGTAAAAACGGCTGATAATTTGGGAGGAACGAATTGCGAAATATCGCAGTCAATGAGGCCATGCAAACTCGCCGGCGCAACAAAACGATTCTTTGACCATGGCCGCTGATTGTTTGAACACCGCCGCGCGCAGTGTTTAGACCTCTGTGCGCGTAGGCCCTCTTTCAAGTTTTTTTTATACGCGAGTTGCTCATTTGGTGGACCTTTTAAGCAAGCTACGCGACCTGCAACCTTCTTGCATGTTTTAGTTTTCAAGGTCACTTTGCCGCTGTATCCTCCCCTCTCTTCACTCTATCGCAACTTGCCCTTCTCTCGCAAATCTGCTCTCCCCTCTTGATCACAACTCCTTCACCAGTCTTCACAGCTCCGCGACACCAGCCACGCTAGCTCAAATTCAAAAGTTTTGTTTTCTGACTAGAAACGGGCCCAGAGCTGTACCACGCGTTCTGGCATGTGTGTCGCGTGTGCGCATCTTTATCGCTCTCGGTGTGCGTGTGTGGTCAGTATGGCAGACGGGAGGCCTTGCACGCTTTTTCTTGCCGCTCAACAAAACGACGAAAATGTGACCGCTTGGCTTGGGCCTAATCCGCGCGTTAGGTACTGCGTCGTAAAGCGCTTGCTTATAGCTGTTCACCACCTGGCAGCCAGCTTGCCGCTTCGGGCGTCCTGGTATTCAGCTGTGGAGATGGGGAATATTTCATGGGCAGCTGGTGAATATTTCATGCACACGAAACTGGCCGATGATGATACCAGCTCCGTGGAGCCGTGCACAGATCAGGGCATAGCGAATGAAGTTTGCGACAAGAGTGTTTTTGGAGGAACCTAATTGCGAGATCGACAAAACTTTGGAGCCAGTGCCTCAAGCAGCTTATGCCATGGGGCCTCGGTGAAGAGCACGCTGCCGTTTGAAATAAACTCGAGACCGCCCTTATCGCTTCTGCTCTTCGAAACACGTGCATGAAGAACATTTTTCGGGCAAAGAATTTTGTGTTTTAACTCACAAAGCTGTGTTTCATTTTGTACAAACTTCAGAATACAGTGAACGGATGCTGCGTCATGCTCAGGTTTATTTTAAGCGGGCTCGACTGTACGCCACAAGACTCGATGAAGTAGTCGCACTGCTAAAAGTTCTGAACGGCTGTTGAGTAGTTCAGCTGTTTCTTAGAAAACTTGGGTGGTGCTCAGATCCTTATTTTCGTATTCATGCATGTATAATTGAATAATATCAGTTCACTTAAAATGTAAAACAAAGTTTAAATATTTCAATATCAACCCACCACAGTCGTCTAGTGGCTAAGGAACTCAGCTGCTGACCTGCAGGTCGCTTGAGTGAATTCTAGCCGCTTTGAAAATGCTTGAGGCCTGTGTGCTTAAATTTTGATGCACGTTAAAGAACCCCAAGTAGACAAAATTTCAGGAGCCCTGCACTACTGCATCTCTCATAATCATATGGTGGTTTGGGGACATTAAACCCAACAATTATTGTTAGGAAATATTTCAATAATGGTTTTATTCATACTTTTGAATGTATACAGTTATGCTCTGGGGAGCAATTCTCGTCTTTTATATGTATGAGATGTCTCTTATAAGCAAGGTACCATGTATGCATTTTCTTATCAATGCCTGTTTCAACGTAGGCACACTGGTGTCTCTTATATCCAGCTGTCTTATACATCGGTGCCTCTCTTAAAGAGGTTCTACTGTACTTAGTTTTAAGAGTTTGAGCAGCGAAACTGTGGTGAGCTTCACATCGTGACTGAACTCGGGCTTGTCACTTTCGAAAGTATGTGCATTTGGCACATTGCAAGTCGCAAAAATGCTCCACTAAATAATCTGCAACACTCACTTTTAAAGCATACTGGTTAGATTCCTTTTTTTTTATGTGTGTACAAGCACAATGTACACAAACGGGCACTTTTGAAGTTTCAACGGAGTGTTGGGGGGCTCTGTTGGTTCGATTCGACTCCATGGCCCCTGTGGCAGCTCATGTTTGACAGTTTAGTTTGATGGCCTTCCATGTCACCCACTCGTTTAAAAGGGCTTGTAAAACACACTTTGCCAAAAACGATTGATTGATTGATTGATTGATATATAGGCTTTAATGACCCAAAAACCGCCATAGGAATATGAGAGACGTCGTAGTGGAGGGCTCCCGCAATTTCAACCACCTAGGGTTCTTTAACGCGCACCCAAATCTGAGCACACCAGCCTACAGCATTCTTGGCTCCATCGAAAATTCAGCCACCGCAGCTGGGATTCAATCCCACAACTTGCGGGTCAGCAGCCGAGTAACTTAGCCACTAGACCACCGCGGCACGGCTCACCGAGAATGAGTGTCCAGCCTCTGCAGCAGTGGCTTGAGAATAGATAAGTTATTATTCAAGGTTCAGTAAATAGTATTTCTCAAACTATACGGTGAGATGAGACAATCATGTTAAGGAAAGCATGGACGAATTCCACCAGACATACATCACAAAAATGCAGTGACGCTGCCGTCGGGCGTTTGGTTTCATGTGGTAGGCAATAGCTGCTGTACCTACCGCAGTTGCTGCTGTGTTTTCGCTCGGGCGTGCGTGCGCTGTTTGTCGCTTTACAAAGAAGAAAAAATGGTGTACCGATGAGCTGTCACAGGTATTTGCGAGGGAAGGTGTTAGAAAGATGGTCTAGTCTTATTTATCTTTTTTTTTTTTTTTTCAGTGTTCTGTTGACGAAAAGTGTTGCAGAAGATTAGCCACAGCTGTGAAACACGACAACTTCCCTGCGACGCCACTTCATGGGTTTATGTCTTGGAAAAGCTTACCGAGAAAAAAATGATTAGCTCTCTCAGGCATTGGAATAAGCCGTGGAATTGTGCATTTTGTGGAATAAGCCGTCGAGAGTATATCGAGCATGTTTACCTCAAAGCACGTGAACGATCTGGATAACATTGGGGTCTGTGTGAATACACAGAAAAACATCTCTCGGTAACTTGGCGAGTCTGTTTAGGGTGTGTACGTATTTCACGGTGTCGGCTTGACTGTACGAATTGAGCCACGAACCTCATAGGCATGTAATCGTATTGTCAGCAGCATGTAGTTGAAGCATTATTGCAGTCATATCACGGATGAAAGTGTGGCTGAGATCGCCTTTGTCGTTTGAATAAATTCTCCGGCACTTTTGTTATACTATGCGAGAATTCACCGTACTACGTATTTTTAAACTGTGCATTTGTGTACTGTACTCTACAGCCTCTTGCTGAATGAGGTCAGCCCTTGCATTAGTAGAAATTAAAATGTGCATGTGTGACATAGACTGCAGCAACACTGATGGCATTTCGTAAATTAGCTACATTTCTGCTGTCAATATACCTCATTTGTTTTAATGAGGTTTTCGAAGCTAAAGCTACACATAAACAAACAAAGCTCGTATGTTCATTTCAGACATCTCTACAGCCACTGCAACTTCCTCTGTTGCAGCCACTGCTTCTAAACATGCGAGAGGTGTCCCGACACGCTGTTTTCAGAGGCAGCTTGTTCACCTGCTGCGCTAGTTGTCACATGATCATAAAGGATGGTGGCACGCTTTTAGGAGGGACGACTGGGCAGAGCCAACGTGCCTTCGCGTCACTCGGTGCCTACCGTTGTTTACAAACATGGCCTATAGGGGGCGTTATTAGAACAGGGTGTCTACCAACCTGGAAAACCTGGAAAACCTGGAAAAGTCAGGGAATTTGAACACGCCTGGAAAAGTCAGGGAAAAGTCAGGGAATTTCTGAAAAATCCGGCCAGGTCATGGAAACTGACAGTAGTCTTTCAGATCGTCACGAAAATATTCATTAGCATTAATCAAAGCTTTAAAAATCGCTCCTTAAACCACACAGAACAGCTAAGCAGAAGCATAGTTAAAAAAAAGCAGTGCATAGCTGGCGCTTCTACTTTCCGAGTACAACGTTACTCACGCGCATAAAATTGTGCATGTTTGTCTTGGCCGCGATCTCGGCTCGATTTGAGGGTTTTCTGGTTAGGCTGGAAGTGCCATCAGCAGAGGGCAAGGAGCACAGAATATGCGAGTTGTAATTATTTTTTTACTGAAATGTGTAGTTTACAGGTGCGTAAATTGGACTGGGATACAATAACAGTAGTAGAGCAAATATGGTAATCCAGATCGGATCCAATCCAATCCAATCCTCATATCAAGATGCCTGGGCTGCAG